CCCACATTGGAGGGGCTCCGCTAAACCCCCAAACCAAACCTGCTGTCGCCGGTCCATCCGATCCGAACACATCTGGACTGTGCAGAACCGCTCTCCTGGAGTGCCCGTGGGCTCAAACAGTGCCACGAGGGGTCCTGGGCTGCCCTGCGGACCCTCAGCCCAACCAAGACCCCCTAGCTGGGCTGCTTCCCAACAGCCCCCTCAGGCACAGATGCCTGTGACAAACAGACCATCCATGGGCGAGCTGTCCTTGTGAAATGCATGACCACCTCCACCAAGCCCCGCCCCACCTGAGCGCCCCAGCCCCACACTTCCCGAACAAACACCCGCCACACAGTCTGCTGCAGCTCTTTATTATGCTTCCAGGTCTACAAATTTGAGCTCTGAAAAAAGATTCATAAAACAGTCTGTGAAATCACTCTCTCGATTCAGTCCATTTCCGATGCAGTTTACGGTGTAGAATGATCTATTTCGTCTACGCTGTCTAAAACACAGCCACATTAGGTTTCTCTAGTCATTATACGCACTCTGGCGTTTTAGGAAAGCCAAGATCAAGATAAAAAATATGAGCAGATTTACCCAATTGCAATGGCTCGTTCCCCAGCACGGACTCTGGGCTGCCGATGGCAGGTCCCCGGCGGTGGGCGCCGGCTCTGCGTGAGCTGTCGGGGATGACACAGTAGCGCCCGGGCAGGCCTCGCCGGAAGGCCAAACCCGGTTCTCTGGCAGTGCGAGCGCGTCGGCTTGTAGAGAGCCGTACGGGAAGCCATTTCTAAACGTGGCCGTCATACACAAGAAGCCTCCTATCACGGGGCGACCGCACTGTGGGCAGATATGAAGCGGCATGTCAAATCAAGACGCCGCCGCTGGCCACAGCGGGGGTTGGTTTCCACTCTCTGTTCCCTTTTGAAGGAGGTGCATGTCACCAAGGCCCGGGGACTGAAGGCTCCCAGGTGGCCCTTGGAAGGCCAGCGTCTGCAGACCACCAGTGGTGGCTGGACTAGGGAGTCCAGAGAAGTGGGGGGACACTTGGACACGGGTGGGGAGGCGGGTGAACAGAGAGCTACTACATCAGACGGGAGGCTTCTCCAGGCAATATGAAAAACCAAAACCCTATAGACTGTGTGCAAAGGGCACGAGACCCTGTGCAGAGCCGTCCGGTCTTCCCTGCGGGCTGAGCGGTGGTCCCTGGTTCCCGGCAGCCGGCTTCTCCGGAACACGCTGCCAGCATTAAGAGCCATAGCGATCCTAGAGAGGGGACAAAACAAAGCCACCAGAGCTCAGCGTCCCGCATCCGCCACAAACACTGAGCCCCAAGGAGGCCGACGGAGGGAGGCAGGCATGGCAGCAGGGCCGGGCCTGGCAACCCTGCAGGGATTTGTGTGAGCTGTGATATATATTTTCCCGCCAAAGAAGGTGGTTTCTCTGAGTAATTCGATGGAAATGATCATCACATCAGGTAGCAAACCAGCATATGCAACCCTGTTGACTACTGAACAAACAAACAAACAAACAAACAACTCACTGCCCTCGAGTCCAGGCTGACTCATCGCCACTCTGTAGGGCGGGGCGGGGCTGCCCTGTGGGTTTCCGACACTAACTCTCCAGGGGAGTAGAAAGCCTCAGCTACCTCCCATGGAGAGGCTGGTGGTTTCAAACCGCTGACCCGGTGGTGAGCAGCCCAACACGTAACCACTACGCCACCATTCCTCCTTTAGCAAAGGACCCTCCTTTTAACTTTCAAAAGGTACTTGCGAAATCCAGGACTAAAATCAAATTCAACAGCATGCTAGCCCCGACACAGCACGGACATCTACTCGGCTACAGAGCAGCGCAAGCAGCGGAGCCTGGCGCCCCAGTGGCGGAGCCTTGAGGGCCGGGTGCTGATGGAAGTCGGACAGCAGCACAGGGCACCTGCTGGGTGACTCCCCAGACAGGAAACATCTAGAACAGGCAGAAGCGGACACACAAGAAGCATACCAGGGCTGGTGGGGCTAGGGGCTTCCTGATAGATGAGGTCAGGGTGGGGGAGACGTTTGGGAAATGGGTAGTGGCGATGGTTCCCCAGTCTGCAGGTGGAATTCCCCCATGAGGGTCAAGCTATGGTAAATGCCATGTGCTCTGCTCAGTGCAACCAACAGGGCGGGGTGCAGAAGCTGCCCGTGTGAGGTGGGATTCCCGGTCAGTTTCATTTCCTTCTTAATGGTGCTTGTTCAGCATCTCTGTCTTTTCCAGTGGGGGAGGGGCCCCCGATAATGAGCATGAGGATTCCTGTCACCACCCCACTTCCCAAGTTGGACACTGGAATCGGTTAAAGAAATATAACTGAGAATTTCTGGCTTTGCCAACCTCTTGGGTTACATTGCAGCAAACATACAAATGATGTAACAAGGGACTGAACCGGAGCTCTCCCAGCAGCCTGGGAGTAGCCCGACTCTCACTTCCTCAGCGCCCTCCACGTGCCCCTCCACCCCAGTGACCTCACGTCCGCCCCGGCGCGACCCGCCCCACTGACCTGGATGGACGTCATGACGCCATTGGCAAAGACGGAGAGCTTCCCGGCCACGGACCTCACGCCCTGCTTGAACTGCGCCATGTCGGGTGCAGCGGGCAGCACGCTGCTCAGGTTGTAGTTCCCTGCACACACGATATGCAGCGTCATTGCGCTCTACCAGGAGGGCCCCGGGAGCATGCCCCACGCTGCCCCTCTGCACCCGCGGCTGTGGTCACAGAGGAGGACTGGGCGGCCCCACCACAGACCAGCTGAGAGAAGACACAGCGCTGAGTGTGGCCTGCCACTTCCAAGCTGGGTGCTTTTGGACAAGTCCCTCACCCTCTCAGGGGCCTGTACCGCCTGGGTACTCTGCCACCCTCTGTCCCAGCCATAGTGGGCACATGACCAGGCCTGGCCAGAGCCTCCCCTGGGAGTCCTTTCCTGGAGTGAACACTAAGACGAGACTCCTGCTCCCATCCCTCCCTGCAGGGCAGACAGACAGAGGGAGCCGGTCGGTCACTGCACGAGAGAACCAGCCCATTGCCCAGAGAGCACGCCAGAAATGCAGTGTCCCGGTGGCTCGGTTTTGTCAGGTGCACCAGGCAGTATGCTGGTGTGTCTGCTCAGGTGAGTCTGAGCCAGGCTTCTCCTGTGTCCATTCTGATGGTCCTGAGGCCCCGGCCTGCTCACACACGAGGGACAGCGCCTCGAGATAGCACAGGGACAAACCTTGGTTTCAGCGATGTGACCCGGCCACACCTGCTGTCTCTGAAGCCACAGAAGCGTCAGCCTCGTCCCTGCGCATGAGCTCAACAGAGAGGGTGGCCTTGTCCTTCAGTCACTACACTCGTAGCCCAGGGCCCTAGCCACCCTAGGGACGTCTCCCTGCTCCACACAGCGCTGGACGTGCTGGGCAGCCATGCGGTCCCCTGAGCGACGGGCACCACAGAGCCAGGGGGCTGGTCAGCTGGACCAGAGCTCGGCGGGCAGTTCCTGATCTGCTTGAGAGGCCCGTCCAGCCGTGCTGGGGCTGGGGCAGGGCACGTCTGCACCATGGGGTCTGCTCCCCCTCAGAGCTGATCACCCGCTCACTGACTGCCCTCGGTGGGTGCCACGTGGCCCTCCTGTGTCCTTCCCGCCTACCGCTGTGAGCATGTGGAGGTCAAGGGGGCAATAAGATGGCAGAGCCTGAGCTCTGGCCCCCCCGGAACGTACACACACGCACACGCACACGTGTGCACACTACTTCCCGGGCCAAGAGAAGCCACGAGAACCACAAGTGAGCGTGTTCTCCTGTGGCTTGGTGCTTACGCAACGCAACTCCACTTCATCCTGACACCCTCACTCCCCGGGGCCACGTACGTAACGTGGCAGCTTGTGCAGCAGAGGTAGTCCCTCCCCGGCACCCCCACCTCCCCTCAGCAGGCCTGACACCTGGCTTGGACAGGCTCCAGCTCTGATATCCAAGCCGCCCTTGGCGGTGGCACCCACCCTGCTGGCTGTCCACGCATCCACGCTCGGCCCCAGGGCGGCTGGGGCAGCGGTCAGGGGTGACAGGTGTCACAGAAGCCTCCTTTGTGCATGTGGTCACGGGTGTGAGGAAATGACAGCTCATGGAAGAGCCTCCTGACCCCTGCACTCGCTCGGCTGGGTCACCAGGCCCATCCCGGAAGACTGCCCTGTCAGAGGGCACTGCCTGCTAGGACAGCAGAGGGGCCTTGACGGCAGGGGGCTGGCATGCGCCTTTCCTGGGTGTCGAGAGCAGACTGGGGTGGGGTGGGGGTCACAGGGTGTGTGCGCGCAGTCATGACGTAAGCAGGCCGTCAGAAAGCCGCTGCAGGGTCCAGGCAGACGGGGTGTGCTGGGGGGCAGGGAGGCTGAGGGCCAACAGTGAGGAGCAGGAGCAGGTAGAGTGGAGGGTCCAGTCGGCCTGGTGCCCCAGAGCCCTGTGTCCGGCGGGTGCACTGCTCGCTGGGGCTGAGGGTCTGTGTCTGTCGGGCACTTGCTCTACGGAGTGGGGTCTCGCTCATCCTCCTCCAGGGTGCAGGCTCCTGAGGGAGCACACTCTCCCATCGTTAACTCCTGGTTCTGGCCATCCTGGAGGCTGTGTCTCTTGCTTTGTCTCCAATCCAGGGACATTGGCACATGGTGTTTGAGTAAACATTTATTTTCTAAAGAGCCTTGGAGGCTCCCACCCCCACCCGCCCCCGTAGCCTCTCTCTGACAGCCTTCATCTCCATGGGTGGCCGGGCTCTCACATGCCCTCCCTCCCTCCCGAGCGGTCTTGCTCCCACAGGTCAGGGCTCCCGCTGGCCTCTCGGACATCATTTCTGAATCTTTCCCGCAATGCCCTTTGTTGCCCAATTGCCTTTGGCCGGCAGATCCCAAGCCTTATTAGGTCTCTGACCTCAGAATTCTCCACCCTCCTGGTGGACACATTGTGTGGAGCATTACAGACTGTGGATGACAGAGACAGCCCATCGCTGCAGCCATG